TTATATATATTACGCCTTGCCGGGGCTTGCGATGGCCGGTTGAGTGCCTTATAGGAGTAGGACGTGGGCACTGAATGTGTCCCCAGCCGGCATTGTAATAACCGTCGATGGTTACATAGTTATACGCTGGAAGAGAAGATCGGAACGGAGGTCCGGATAGCGTAACTGGCAACGCATCTGCACGGTAAGCAGGAGTTGTGGGTTCGAGTCCCGCTCTGGGCCGATTTTTTCTCCCAGCGGTTCCAAATTATTTAAATTAATTAATATATTTATAATTATTAATTTTAATAAGAGATGGCGCCTAACGCTTACCTCTAGTGCCAAATTAATTACGTAATTAATTTAGAATTTAGCATTAAAATAGCCCGATTAATTTACGGCATTCGGTTGGTGTCTTACTATATTGGATATCGGGTTTGGAGATGTTTATTTATATTTATGGAAGAAAACCTTTCAAACAGCCGTAGTCCGTAAACTGCACACGTGCTGGGCTGTGATTGGCTCATGTATTTTAGGATTCCTACAACGTGAAATTCTTAAAGTGGAACATATCTACCACATTATAGGGGGGTCGACTGTATTTATAAGTGAAGGTTCAATTAAAGTATATAATACATTTAAATATATCTGGGAGGTCAAGACAAACTATGCTGATGGATGCAGTGTGGCCGTCAGCCATATTGTAGTTTGTATATAGTTCACAATTCCTTATTTTATTTCTATTCTTCTACTTTTTTCTATTGTCTTTGAGAACTTTCCATATCGACCATTATTATTTGAAGGGGGAGGCTTACCCCTTCTCAGAACCAAGGGTGAAACAAAGGAGCAAGGTATTAATGCTTTTCCGAATTTGGGGAAATAAACAAAAGAAAATGTAGCCTGAGGTGAAAAGAAAGGAGAGAAGAGAACACTTTTTGGCTGGACCTCAAAAGGAACAGACATACAGTGTAGTGAGTGAAGCTCGAAAAGAGAGAAGTTGGAAGAAGACGGCAGGTATAAGAGAGGACTGTTGAGGTTAGAGAGGAAGAAGCACGAGGGACTAAGGAAAACCAAAAGAATTGGAGAACCTCAAGAACAAATTTGCTGAACCAGTAAAGAAGAATAAAAGATCACGTCTGTGAAAGGGCACCTCCCCGAAAGATATCGATCAATCAACATGGACCTGGGTACTCTCTATCTATCTCTTTATACTTTTTACACTTTCCTAAGTCTAATTGTTTCCCTGTTATATTAGTTTTAAGTTAGACGTAAGATTAATTTTTAAGTCGGTTATCAAGGTTTTGTGTTACGCGCATGTATATTATATACTTGTACGAGAATAGGAGGCGACCTATTTCCCTGTAAGGATAATAGGGTAATGAAACCCGTTAAGTTGGGATCTTTGTAACACAAGAAAAAAGAACCATGTTTGGAGAGCATTAAAGGAATATTCAATTATACATGTTTTTGTTCCTGTGTTCCTAATTGTAATGTTTATTCGCAGACTTACAAATCTCTCGTTATGAACAACCACAGCAGAATCTATATGTGGGAGATGGAATATTTGTTAAGTAAGAGATATAATTTTGAACGTTCTGAATTTAATTTATTTAGCAAAAAAGGAGTAACAGAGGACCAAACATTAATGATGTAATGTATGAGTGAATGAATATTGGCAAAAAAAAAAAAAAATGATTGGAGAACAGTTTTGGATGAAAAAAGTTTACAGTTATGCAAGAATAATGTATAGATACCTGTTTAATTAATGTTCTATGTGCAAGTGGAAAGTAACTTTAGAATCAAAACTCACACCAAGGTGAATTATTTGTTGACTGTGTCTATTTCCTGATTGTTAATAAAAAATTTTGTATTAGATAATAGTTTGATAAGATCATAAAACATTACTTTGGTTTTATTATTATTAATTGAGAGGTTAATTTTGATGACTTCTTTAATTAAAATAATGAGATTCTGTTGTAGAGTTTTGTGGCAATTATTCATTAGTTTAATTTCATTAGCATAAGCAACTATGAAAGAGTGAGGAGTGCACTGATCCTCCATGTTCATGAATAATTGGGAGTAAGTAACCTTTCATGAACATTGAATTCTTGAACTTTAATTTCCATTTTTTATGTTAAATTTGTAATTCATTACAAGAAATTTAGTGTAATTTAATTCTTTTATCCTTAAAAAATAAATTTTATATAAGAACATATTTCTTTAATAATGTATTATTTGTTAATATTTTTATTTTTTGATAACAGTACTTTATAATGTTATTCACTAATAATAAGTAAAATATAAACTAGCTTTTATCTAAAAGTTAGAATAATTTTTTAATATTATTTTTAACTGTTGTTATGAATTTTTATAGATAACATATTAGTTTACTTTGTGGCACAGATGGCAAAATTAAGACAACAATGTGCATAAATCAATAAAGCATTCATTTATCCATTAGTTGTGTCAGTTTTTTTATTCAATTAAATATGCTTTTTGATTAATATAAATTGTAAAAATGAATTGTAATAGTATTAAATTTTTTTTCTTATAAAAAATTTAGTAATGCTGTTTATTAAAATTATTTTTAGAGGTAGTCATTCAGAATTTGGTTCGTCATTAACAGTTGATAATGCACAGGATATTACTGAAAAAGAAATTTCACCTTGGGAACAGTGGCTCTTTGAAAAAGAAAAAGAAAGACGAAAACAGTTTCTTAAAAAAAAAGAAGAAAGGAAACAAAAATTAATGATTGAACAGAAAGAAAAGGAAATAGAATATGAAAGAAAGGTTCGTGCAGAAAATGCGTATAAAAAATGGCTTCATAGAATTCAAGAAAATCAAAAGAAACAGTTTTTACTTCAAAAAGAAAAGACTGAAAAGGAAAAGAATGATAAAGAAGAAAAAGAAAAGACTATCAGAATACTTTCAGAAAAAAAATTTAAACAATGGAAGAAAGAGAAACAGAAACTAGAAGATGGTATTATATAAATATGTACTAATTTAATACTATAACTTAGTTTTTTTTTTGTAATTTGGTTTATGTAAATATTTTTTAAAAATTTGATATACTGGTTGTATTTGAATAGGAGCCACATTTTTTTGAGTATTTCTGAAAACTTAGAAAAATAATGTAAAATTAATAAATGCCATAAATTATGGTAATTAGATATTGTATTTATTTCACAAACTTTAATAGGAAATGGAATATGTAAAACATACAATATATTATTTTCTTATTACTAGTGTATAGAGAGTAACAGTCATTATAAAGAAAGATATTTCAAGTTGTCATCTTGAGTATAATCTACTTAAAAATCAAACTTTCATAAATAGATATTTAAATGCTTTATTAATAATGGACATTGAACAGGTACATGCAAAGGAAATAATCATCCTTGAATAGTAACTGTAGAGAAAATATACAGTTTAAAATAGGAGCTGCAGGTATTATTCAAATAAAACCAGTAATTACATCAATAATTAAAGATAGAATGCTTAATAATAATTTATACGAGGTCTGTTCAAAAAGTATCGGACTTTTATTTTTTCCGCGTAAACCAATGATGCGCGTGAGGCCTCTTTCGGTGGAGTTGTGGAGGGGACAGTCATGCACAGCCCTGAATTTTTTCCCACTTACAGGAAGCGTCAGTCACTGGCAGTCGGCCTATGAGTGAGAACGTGTAGTGAGCTCTCATCGGATTCCACTAAGTTGGAAAATGACCGAACAACGTGAGCAGTGATATTACATCAAATTTTGCCAAAAACCTTGGCGATACCCAAGCAGAAACCTTTCGAAGATTCAGCAGGCTTTCGGGGACAATTCTCAAGGCCAAAAAAAGTGCGGCAGGTCCGCAGCAATATCAAGGTCATGTTGACAGTTTTTTCAACTCTCGTGGGGTGGTGTATCGTGAGTACGCACCACAAGGCCAAACCATCGCAAAGGAGTACTACCAGGAGGTCCTTCGTCATCTTTCCGATCCTGTGCGATGCAAACGACCGGATCTGTGGTCGATCAAAACTTGGCAACTCCATCATGATAACGCATCCGCCCATTCTGCGCATCTGATTCGGGCTTTCGTCGCCAAACACAACACTCCTGTGGTTCGTCACGCTCCCATACTCTCCCCACATGGCTCCGTGTGACTTTTGGCTATTTCCCAAGCTGAAAATGCTGCTAAAAGGAACCCGATTTTAGTCGAGAGAAGACATCGTGCGGAATGCGACGGACCAGCTGATGGCCATTCCATAAGATGCATTCCAGCAGTGTTTCCAGCAATGGCAGGAACGCTGGGAGAAATGTATATACTACCAAGGAGACTACTTTGAAGGGGATTAGGGTTTTGTACCTCAAAATCAATAAATGTATTTTTGCCAACCAAAGGTCCGATACTTTTTGAACAGCCCTCGTAATTTATACTTATAATAAGCAGATAAAGTAAATAGCTTTATTATAAACAGATTTAATTTGTTTAAATATAAGTATGAAAATGAAAATATGCATATGAAAATGTTTGAATATTTAAAAGGATTTTATATTTCTTTTAAGAAATATGTAAAATAAAAGCAATCATAGTTTAATAGCCAGATAACTTTTTTATATTCAAACATTTTCAGATAAATAAATCACACAGTCATGCAAATATGCATTAAACAAACTATTAACTAATTATTCAGTTTTTAAAAGATGATTATTTGATAATTACAATTACAATCTAATTAATAAATTAAAAGACAACATAGCAACAGCTTTCTTCTAATAATAGATACCGTATTTTGACAAATATAAGTCACTGTCAAGTATAAGACGCACCCCTATTTTGAGACAAAAAATTTAGAAAAAAACTGTTTTAATGGGATTGTCTAAAGATGCATTTTATTCGGTTTTTTTATTCAAGAATATGGCAGATGGGTGAATTGATACCTTTATTAAACTGAAATAATTGTCATTTCTTGATGTAAGCTCAGAGGTCACGTGATGACAGTCGACAGAACATGGCGGCGATGACTTGTGTGTCGTTACTCTGATAATTTAGATACTCTAGCCATTCGGTTGAGGGACCATCCGCTAATCGGATCATTGCACAGGTTGGTTCCTAGAGTAGACCACTATTGTAGGTAATTTCACTGTAAAAATGGTTACCTGTCGAGTATAAGACGCACCATGATTTTGAGCCACAAAAAGTAGTAAAAAAAGTGCGACTTATACTCGTCAAAATACGGTAATTTAGATAAATAGGCATTATCTATATTATTTTTGTCTAATTGAAGCACATGATGCAGAAAGGGCATAAGTTACACCATGGCCCAAATTGAGTAAAACATGCTTCATTCTGTATCAAAAAGCACTATGGTGTAGAAAAATAATAATGTTCCATTATATTATGAGGCAGTTGTTTGAGGCTTATGCTGAGAAATGCATTGTGTTGTTATTATTTTATTCATTACCTCAAAACTGTGAATTGTACATGTTTCTTTTCTGCATCATGTGCTTCAATTATAAAATGTAAGTTTCATAATCATCAAAAATTTTTAAAACTAAATTAATGAATTAATCATTATAAAAATATATAACACAGGTCAACAAAAAAAATTTTTTTTGGTGCCTAGGATTTTAGAACTGGTTTTAGCTATATTTGGGTCGCCGAATCCAAATATGAAATCAGTTTTCTCTATCAGCTCTACTTTTTTAGATCTGTGTTTTTTTAATGTACAGTGCTACACGAAATGTGCAGCTCTAATTCCAGTTTGTACAGTTCTAAATCACATATGCAAGAATTGATTCCTGTATATTTTCCCCATTGTTAGTCTGCCATCCAGTTAGTTCCAGGTAAATCCACCAAATGAAGTAAGCATTTGGTAACAAATTGACGTTCAATGCTTCAACTAGAGTTGAGGTAAGTTTGTAAGTTGTAGCCGTGCAGTGTTTAGATCAGTGTTTCCCAACCTTTTTTGTGCTATGCTCCACCTAAGCCTTTCTAAAATTCTTATGCCCCTCTAACGTATACACTTAATTGCCATACTGTTTCGTCATAACCATGATAAAACCTGATCCTTTCATCAAAGTCTCTTATACTTTCCAGTTGTTGCCAAATGCAACCTGGAACACAACTCATGTCTGTCCACCTCAAGGTCTGAGCAAAGAATGTCCTTTCTCCTCTTTCATTAGCATCAGGACTTCATTCATCTGTTTGTTCTCAGTGGTTCTAAGAATTGTTAATCCCACCTGAAGAGAAAAGGGTTATAAAGGAAAGTTCTAGAAGGAAAGGGGAACAAAGTACTGTGTTCTAGATGCTTTTATTTGTGTTGTTGAATAGAAATAAAATGCATTCAAGTAGAAGAAGTTGTGTAAATCATTCTGATGTATTTTGCTACATATGTGGAGAATATATGTTAAAAGAAAACAGAAAAACTATTAGTGACTTTGTAAAGAGAGCTTATCTTGGATACTTTGGTGTTAAACTTGGTGATCAGGATAAAAGCTGGGCACCGCATCAGGTCTGTAAAACTTGTACAGAACATTTACGACAGTGGACTACTAGGAAAAGAAAAAGTCTGAAATTTGGCATACTGATGGTTTGGAGAGAACCCAAAAATCACTTTGATGACTGTTATTTCTGCCTAGTAAATATTAATGGAATCAATCGTAACAACTGTAGCAAGTGGACTTATCCTGATTTAGTCTCTGCAAGACGCCCGGTCCCTCACTCACAGGAAGTGCCAGTTCCATCATTTCACTAGCTACCAGAGCTCTGTGAGGATGAGTATCCTCTGATCCTAATGAAGATGACTGTGATTACGAGAGAATGTCATCAATTCCTCAATGTT